TGAGCATCAGAAACTAAGAAGGTATGAAACTTTTATATATTTTGCAGACTTGATATTTTTCAAATGGCATTGTGTATAATACTCTTACTTCTTTAGCTTCTCTTCTGACTGCTGCTTGTCATTCTCCAGGTCCATTATAGATTCCTGGGCAAGTTTCAGGTCTCCCTCAAGCTTTCTCTTGGCTCTCTCAAGATCCATGCGTAGCTTCTTTTCTTGTTCCAGTGACCCTTCTAGCTGTTACATTTGAAAAGTATCTGGTTACATTGTAATTTTAGTAAGATTTTTGTCATTTCTGCCACCTATCTAACTGCAACACGTAAATATTTTGCCCAGCCTTTGACAAGCTTTCGGCTGTCTTATTTTGTTTATGAGTGACATTACAAGCATTAAATCAAAACTGGAGAAGCTTTCACTGGAATCTTCCAGTGCTTCAGTGAATCTACCATAAAAGTGAAGTCTCAACAAAAGAGGTTTAGTAAGCAAATTCATATTTTACCACATTTGACCATGACTTCGATAGTAGCATATCATGATTGGAACAGCTCATTTTATTCATTCTTGGCATGTATATTTATATGTGATAATTGAAGCACTGATGATCAGCTGATCATAATTACATCATCAACTTGTTGTTCAAGCTTGGTCTTGGCTTTGGTCAGAGTGTTGACTTTGTCTTCTTCTGCTTGGAGATCATCCAGGATCTGCTGATGTGCCTCTTGGAGGGCTTTCTTCTCCTTGGTCAACTTGGCAATACTCTCATCCTGAGAGGCCATCTCCTCAGTCAGGTTTTTAACCTGAGCAGAAAACATTCCATATTTGGTTACAGAGAGTTAAGTAAATTATTCATAGATATATAGTGATTAATGAATGAAGATTAACCTTGTTTTCCGTGGCATGTTTCTCCTTCTCCACTTTAGCCAAGGTCAGCTCCAAGTCATCAATGTCTTTCTTCAGCTCAGAACATTCATCCTCCAGTTTCCTCTTCTTGGCAGTCAACTCAGCATTGATTTCCTCCTCATCCTCCAGCCTCTCATTTGTCTCTTTGAGTTTTGCTTCAAGCTGGATTTTACTTTTGATGAGACCCTCACACCTTTCCTCCGCGTCTGTGAGATTTTCAGTTTCCTAAGTATAAATAAAATTAAAGTTATTTTTCAAGCTGTAAGATCAAAATGACTCTTCATTAAGTCATTACAAACTTCAATAAGTTTTAACAAGTCATAGTGGTTAGTTCAGTATTTGAATATCTCTGTTACTTAATCAGATTATTTACATACTGATTGCACTTGTAACTGCAGGTCATTCTTCTCCTGTAGAAGAGACACCATTTTCTCCTCCAGCTCCTTCTTCTTGGCCAGTGCTTTCGTCAGCTCTTCTTTGGTCTTCTCAAACTCCTCCTTCATGTTGGCCATTTCCTTCTCAGTTTCTGCGCTCTTCAGGAGTGGCTTGATCTTGAAGTACAGCTTCATCCATGGCCAGTGTTTCACATTCATGAATGAGCGGATGTTGTATTGGATGGTAAAAACAGACTCTCTGGCAGAATAAAATTATACAGTTTATTAGAATTTGGGAATCAGTAGATTAATTTGGATTAAGCAGTGGATCAATTAAAATTTTGCATGTTATCCAAATTAACTGCACAGTGACTCTCAAAAACAGTGGCATATTTTGTTATTGTTAATTTGATTTGTTGGAGTAATCTCATTTTTTTGTGGAGCGTAGTACATAGTTTGGAAAATGATAGTTGTACATACAAGATCCCAACTTCTAAGGAATTTCATAACAAGGTGCTTTTATACTTCCTCACGTCAGTGCAAAAGTACATGTTGACTATCTTAGAAAATATTGGTGAGATTATTCTACATCTCAAGAAACACAAATTATTTTATTGTATCACTGATGTACCTTCTTTCCATCATCTTCACAAACTCCCTTCTCATGAGGAAACCACGGCACAGGGCCTGAGTCATGGTGACTAAAGTGGCCAGTTTGTCATCTCGCATCTCCTCTAGCTGCCCCAGCAGACCAGCTTTGAAGAACACCTGGCGACAGATGTGGTAGATATTAGATAAATAACAGGATAATGAGTCCAGCAATGTGTGTTAGAAATTGCATGATACAGATTATATCTCCAGCCTTTTACCTTGGTGTGGCCAAACTTGTACTGAGTGTGGTCCACATCAATTGAACCCAAGAGCTTCTCTGAAGCCTTCTTGTTATCAATGAACTGTCCTTCCGGAATCACGCTGGCATTCAGGACTTTGTATCTGAAATAGTTCATTTAAAAAAATTATTTATGCTGCTTGTTTCCATTTTTTTTTTACTAAAATATACTTTTCTAACGTCAACATTTTAATCTTATTTCATTATATTTGTTTGTTTAGCTTTATTTCACTTTACATTTATTCCATCCTTCTATAATTTCACTGACCTGTACTGTACTGTAGTTGCTTCTTTGTCTTTGGTTTTACTTTAATCTCATATGTGAAAATCCATATATGAAAAGTGCTATTTAAATTAAGATTATTATTATTATATTTATGATTCCTATTTAGCTGTTATCATTTATAGCTGTATAAATCAAGGATATTTCATTAGGAAATTTCTTCTATTGATAGAGTAATCCATGAAAGAGAAGCGTTCAAAATAACCTCTGCTTGAAGTCACCATAGAGGATTCTGCTGGGGAAACCCTTTCTGCAGATCCTGATACCTTCCAGCACACCATTACACCTCAGCTGATGGATAACCAGGAAGTTCTCCATCAGACCTGGAGGACAAATTAAAGTAAATGAATTATACATAAAATCTGAATAAACCTAGTGAAACTCCTTTAATACTAATGTTTATGCAGTTGATATAATGTACAGTCCTGTACAAACCTGGTGTCTTTGATTCGTTTGGAATCAGGCAGCGCACAAAGTG